CAGGGAATTAGGGCTGTCTGAGGAACACGGATTTGGGGGATTTATCCAGAGCACCTCTGAAATGCAGCCCTGGCACGGGGGGAGCTGGTGGGAGGCACTGGTGAGGACGAGCAGCACGATGAAGGTACAAAGTCCTGGAGGGCTTCAGAAGGCATCAAACCAGCCCAAAAGGGACTGTTGTGCCAGCACAGCAAGGTGCTTTTTGCTGCTGACAGGGATGGGGCAAGAACCGAGTGGCAGGGATGGGGCAGAGGGGCTGTGGGTGGGCAGAGTGAGGGCCTGGCATGGGCAGAGCTCCCATTTAAAGGCCTCTGCTCCTGCCCAGGGGGCTGTGGGACACCCAGGGCACAGCTCAGGACACCCAGGTGTGGGTGCTTCAGAGGGGACAAGCTCCACCCCCCTGGCAAAGGCTCAGCAGCAAGCAAGGCACGGGGCACAGGCTGGCCCAGGGTGAGGGGCCAGCACCCAAGCTCAGGAAGGATGAATTTGGCCTTGCTTGAAGCAGTGCCCACTGAGAGAGCAAAAGGCTGGGAAAATAAAGAGGTTCTTTTGGTCTGAAAGCAGGGGGTTGATCCCTGTGAGGGCTGGGGGACACAGCTTAACACAGGGAGGAAAGTTCTCCAGGGGACAGACGCAGCCAACGCTCGCCTGAAACCAGAGGTGAAGTTTTAGGCTCCCTGAGCTCCCCCCCGGCCAAAAATCCCAGGGAATAGTCAGCTCAGGCACCCTGCTCCTTAGGGAAGAGCTTCCCTGGCTGGAGCAGGCTCCTGGAGCCAGCAGGGAGCTGGGCAGTGATAAAAGGAGGTGTTCTTCTTCTTCCTGGGACGCCGGGCTGCACCCTCCCCTCCCTCTCAGCAGAATTAGGGCACTGCTGAGGATTAACAGCCCTGACTACAAATGAGAGCAACGCTGAGCTGGCCAGAAAGAGACACCCAGCAGGAGAGAGGGAGGGAGAGAACGAGAGAGGGGGGAAGAGAGGGACAGGGAGAGATCCCACGAGCCCGAACGGGTGGGTCAGGACCTTGCCCGGGGAGTTTGGTGCCACCACGACCACCAAACCCTGTCCCCAAGTGCCACCTCCACACGTTTTCTGAACCCCTCCAGGGCTGGGGACTCCCCCACCTCCCTGGGCAGCCTGCTCGAGGCCTCACCCTTCTGCCAGGAAAGATATTCTTCCCAATATCCACTCCAAAAGTGCCCTGGTGCAACGTGAGCCCATCTGCTCTCACCCTGCTGCTGGTTTCCAGGGAGAGGTTTCACCCCCTGAGGGTGGAGCACGGTACAAACCTACTCACCAAGCAGGTACCCAAGCCCAGGCTTTGCTCCACTGCCCAGAGCCAGCCTGGGACTGTCACTGCCAGGGGGAGGGAACACTTTGGGACCTCCCCCGGAGGGTACAGACCCTCCCCTCAGCACCCTCTCACGGATGGGCAGCATGAGACCCTCGCCAGCTCCGTGTTCAGCAAAGAATCTGCCCAGCAGCTCAGGTCTGGTTTGTTCTCTGTGAGCCCCCAGCCTCAAGCAGAGGAGGATTCTCCCTCACCAGCACTGATTCATAAAATTCACTCTTCTCTGGCCACCTCCCCCTCCTCTGCTTGCCACAAGGGCTCTCCCTTCAGAGTGGGGACAGCCATCACCTCACCCCTTGCCTGCCTTCACCCCTGTAAGACGACAAAACCACCAAAAACTCCATGATTTCAGGCTCAAGAACCACCTCCTTTATTATGCTCCTCCAACCACCACAACCAGGACTCATCCTGCTGCAGGAAACATCAGCCCAGCACCTCAGGTCCTGAGCGTCCGGACACCCCGAGGGTGCTTCAGGGGGGTTCTCAGAGCCCCTCCCTGAGCTCACAGCATGTGGGAAGACAAAAAAAAACTCCCCAAAACTGGAGCCATGGAGCTGCAGGAGAGAAACTCCCCTGGCCAGGCCACCAGGCCCCGTGGCCAGCTGGAGGAGGCACCCGGGCCACTGGGCTCAGAACCCACAGGAAGAACCCACTCAGAGGTGGCTCCTTCACTCCTCCCATCAATTTATTTCCTTTGGAAGTAAAATGTGTGGGCTGAGCAGCACAGGCACCTCTACCCAGCCTCAAAAACCCTTTTTGGGGGAGGATCTGGAAAGGTTTTGTGTGTTTTAGACCCCTGTCACCACGATAACCTTGTTACCTTCTCACAGGCCCCTCAGGGAGAGGAAACACCCCAGGGATTTACAGATATGGCACCATCAGCCCAGTTATTCCAGCTGGGGGAGAGCCCCTGCTCCCCAAAACCCCCTTTCCATCTGCCCCATGGATTTTTGGGGGGGGGCTTAAGAGGATCTTAACTTTCACCCCTCGGTTCAAGCTGACAGAGAGACCTGACCCGAGTCCCAGCAGTTTTAATTAGCACCTAATTAGCGAATCAGAGTTCCCTCAAATCCACGACAGACCTCAGCAAGTGCAAAAAAAGCTGCTCGGGGAAGCTCAGCACAGTCATGGGGACCCAAAAAAAAAAACCCAGGGAGCCTCATTTGTTTGTCCTGGCCATAAGCAAATCTTCCGAAGCTCAAACACCTGCAGATTTACATGCTAACAGCAGGACATCAAGCGAGGGCTTGAGAATACACCGGGCAGGGTTGGTGCTGGTGCTGTTGTTGTTGTTGTTTTACCTCCCGCTCTGACTCCCACACGCCCCCGGCAGCGCGGGCAGCGACGGCCACTCGCCGACGCCAAGAGTTTGTTTTCGATGCTGGGGGGAAATTCCCGGCTGCTTTTGGGAGGGGGAAGAGGAGAAGGAGCTGAAATAAAGCGCTGGAGGATGCGCCGGCTGCGAAGAGGAGGCGCAGGGGGCGAGCGGTTCGCGGGGGACCCCCCCCAGAATGACAAAAAGCCGCGGG